CCTCTTCCAGCACCTTCCTGGGGGGGGGGCTCACTGGCCCAATTCACTCTGTCATTGGGGGTTCAGGTTACATCTTAGGAGGCTCTTACAAAAAAGGGACTTGAAGTCAGGGTGGTGGTGATCCACGCCTTCAATCCCAGCACTCAGGATGCAGAGGCAGGTGGATCTCTGTGAGTTCGAGGCCATCCTGGTCTACAAGAGCTAGTTCCAGGACAGCTAGAAATGTTAGACAGAGAAACCCTGTCTCGAAAACAAACAAACAATCAAAAAAGGGACTTGACGCCTGGAGGTGGGTGAGAGGGGCTCCCTGTCTCCCAATACCCTATCATGGAACCACCACCAGGGACACGGGAGAGCCTTACCTACCTTTTCAGTTTCCAAGCTTGGCTACGCAGCAGGTGTGCCATGGCGTATTCCCTATTTCCACAAACGAGTTATACCCAACAGCCCCCATTCCAACCTGTTCGTGCATACCTTCCTGCACAGGGCCTGGTAAATCCTGCGGTAGCACCTCCTCTTTCGGGTTTTCCCTCTTTCTGACCAATCGGAGGCAACAGGTTTGCCAGACTCTGATGATTCTTTGGATGCCGCGGAAAATGACTCGGCTGCGAAGGGTTTTTGCAGTATGGGATGCAGTACTGTGGCCCTCCGCGGAGGCCTAAATTAGAGGGGCCCAGGCAGTTCCGTTGGCGCCCCCCCCGCCACTGTCTCTGGGCCCTGAGCGGCCCCACGGTCCTTCAAGCGGCCGCCTGGAGGGGATGGCGGGGTGGCGCGGGTGGCGCAGATGGCGCTCTCCACCCGGGGGGGCCGCCGTTGTGGCCGGCGATGGCTCACTCGATCCGCACCTGCAGGCGGACGTTGAGCATCACCGAGGCCACCATATAAAAGTAGGGGAAGTTCACGCGCAGCCGCCAGGCCAGGTCGAAGAAGGTGAGCAGCGTGCGCGTGAGCCCCTTGCAGAAGGCGCCGTAGGAGCCGCGCGTCGCCGCCCAACGCGACAATCGCATTGCCAGGCCGGACAGGGCTGCAGCCGCAGCTGCAGCCGACAGGGCCGTCGACACCGCCATCGGCCTGGCTCACCCGCTCACCCGCTCACCCGCTGCAGAGCCAGCTCAGTGCGCCACGCCACGCTGCACCGCGACAAGCCGCCCAACGCTGCCTGCAGCCCCGCCTTTGGGCTCCGGGTCCTTGCTGCCTCCAGTGCTCCACCCACCACCCCGCAGCCTCAGTGGCTCTTGGCCTTCTTGCGAGACCTGCGGCTGCTCAGCTCCGCCCCCTCGCCGCAGGCTCTGGGCAGAAGTCCTTCCCCTTGTTCAGCAGGTATCTTTGTCTCATCCTGAGTCCTGCTGCTACAGAATGGCGGCAGAGGTCGGGCCGGGCTTGCTTGGCCTTACCGCCTCAGTCCCACAGATGGGAACCCTCTCTCCACGAAGTCTCATACCAACCAAGTGCCTGTCCCACCTGTTCAGCTTGTTATTCCTATAGTGCACAAATACTGAACGGCGTGAATGGTGCGCTGCTAGGACTAGCTCTAGGGAAATACTCTAGAATGGAGGGGGTTAAGGACTAGCTAGCTCTCGTGGACCACTTTTGGTAATTCTATAGGAAAGTATATCCAGTAGTTCTCTCCTATGCACGCTAACACCCCTCTTCCACCGCCTCCTCGGGAACCAGGTCCAAGGACTCATTGCACCTTTCATTATTTGCATAATGCCCTGAACTGCCCCACGCAGTGCCATCAGATCAATGGTGCATGCATTTTGTTCCATTTCTGTTGTGTTTGCTGGCTGCCTTTTCTTGTTAACATCTAATCTTTAGATCAACAGGTTAAACCAAATCCAACCCAAAGCCAGATTGTCTCTGGCGATGTGGGCAGCGTTCAGTCACCTATGCAAGGGTGAGAGGAAAACAGCCAAGATTCCGCATTGTAGAGCGTTGCTCAGTTACTGTGTTCAGTGGGTTAGGTGCCCGGAGGGCATTTTCGTCTTAGGATATTTTCCACTTTAAATTGATTTATCCAGATAAAACTTCAGAGTAAATCAAAGATCATCTGTGTTTATTAATAGGGAGTAGAGTGATCCCTCCAAATTCGATTTTTATTTGACAGCACATCTTTAGTTATTCTAGGGGCTGTGCATACCCACATAATTTTAAGAAGTAAATAGTGAGTACAAAAGGCATTGCTTGAAATTGTATTAAATAGACAAGTTTTGGGGAGAACTGACACCATTTTTATGTAGACTGTTTCATGTTAAGAACAGAGTCTGTCTTTGTTCATCAAGATGTTTTTATTTCTTTTATTGAAATTTGTATGGTTTGGCATTGAGATCCTTTTTACATTTGTTATAGCTACTCAAAAATACTCATTTTCTTTGAAAGCACTATAAATGATTTTGGACTTTTAATCTCAGTTTCCATATGCCTCTTCATTATTAGTATATAGAAATGTATCTTTGTATGTATATGTGTCTGCATGCATTCCTGTGTGGATTCCCATGCATGCATAGGTGTGCATGCATTCCTGTGTGGATTCCCATGCATGCATAGGTGTGCATGCATTCCTGTGTGGATTCCCATGCATGCGTAGGTGTGCATGCATTCCTGTGTGTGGAGGCGAGAAGACAACCCATGGAGCCTATTTACTTCAGTTGTTGAACCGTCTCTTCATGGCTAAGAGCCCTTCCAGTAGACCAGAGAGAGGGTCAGCAAGCTCCAGGGATCTGCCTGTCACTGCCTTTCCAAGATCTGGGATTTTAAACTTGTGTCACTGCCAGGTATGACTGCACAAGTCTTTGATCCTAAGCATTCAAGCATCAGAGGCGGGCAGACCTTTGTAAGTTTGAGGCCAGCCTGGTCTACATAACAAGTCCCAGGCCAGTCAGGCCTACATGGTGAGGCTGTGGACTAAAACGCACAACAAACAAACCAAAAAACCATCTCTGCCCCCTGTGCCTCCATGCCTGGCTTGGGGAGGCAGTGAGCATGGCTTGTCTCTTAAAGAGACAGAACACGTCATTACACTGGGCATGTCAACGTTGTTTTCCATTTGGAGCCTTCCTCCTACCCTTGAAATACACATTTCTGTGCATTCATCTTGTGTGCAGTGAAGAAGACAAACTTTTCGCTTGTTTCTAGGGATCTTTTTGTCAATACTGTGAAACTTGGTAACTAGAATATCTTATTGTGTACAAACAGTTCTCTGTCTTTTCATCATTCTAGCTGCTCCTTGTCTCATTGCAGTGGAGAGAGTTCACAGTGCCAGGCTGAATGTAAGAGTTTGCTACCCTAATGGCTGTGTATGGGCAAATGCGTTTTCTAAATCACTGATTTGAGTATCTTTAGAAACTAAGATTACAATGCTGGGTGTGGGGGCGCACACCTTTAATCCCCTTACTGGGGGGGGGCAGAGGCAGGTAGATCTCTGTGTGTTCAAGGCCAGTCTGGTGTACAAAGAGTGTTCCAGGACAGCCAGGGCTGTTACATGGAGAAACCCTGTCTCAAAAGATGAAAAAAAAAGTACTATTTTAAACTTTCATATACCTAACTTTTTGATTCAGTCTCAATCTGTAGCCATACTTGCCTGGAACTCACTATGTAACCTAGGCTGGTCTTACTTTTGTGTTATTATTTTAATTGTATTTATAATGAACAAATGCCAAACACATTAAAAAATGTGTGCATGTAAATGCATGCTAGCAGGGACATACACCTGCATGCGTGTGTGTGTCTCTCTCTGTGTGTATGTGTGTGCTTGTGCTCGCGTAGCTGCATATGTTTGTCCGTGCAGAAGCAAGAAGCTGTCTATCTATCTCAGCACTAGAATCACTTATGGGTGTTTGCTAGGCGTGTTACACAGTCTTGGGATCTTAATTCTGGCAGGTGGATGGATCTCTGTGAGTTCAAGGTGTGGTAGAACACATCTTTAATCTCAACAGGGGGAGGCAGAGAGGCGGGTAGATCTTTGTGAGTTCAAGGGCAATCTGTTCTACAGAGTGAGTGCCAGGACAGCCAGATACACAGAGAAACCTGGTCTCAAAAAAACAAAAATTAAAAAGAAAAAGAAAAAAATAGAGTTTAAAATAAAGCCACGTAAAGATGGAAAATACACAGTCTGGATACTGTATGTTATTGTGTTACGGCTGCTAAACAACATTTGATTATAAATGTTGCTGAATAAATCAACCTGTGTATTTTGAAAATGCCTTGACTTTAAAATAGAAGTCAAAATATATGTTACTTTGGAGAAGAGGCTTTTGTTTATACAGGAAATGAGAGGCTCTGGATTCATTCTGGTTTAAGAAAAATCAAGTTTGATCAAGGAAGACCTCCTGAGAAATTCAGATGGCCCAGATGTCTGAGTTCTACATCTAGAACAGATTCAAAACTGCTGTCTGAGATGATCAAGCCTCACAGGATACTCCAGTCAGGACTTGATCATAATTCTAAATGTTCTTTAGGTCCCCATAAGATTATCAGTGCCACCAGTCAGCAGGAAGTAGAAAAACTATGCCCACATTCCCAAAAACATGGACTATGGATATTTTTCTTTGTTTAGAGTGTTGGATACATGTTGTTATGGATAATGTCAGGAAGAAAGCTAAACAAGGGAGATTAGATTCAGAATTCTTGTTTTGAAAAAAAAAAGTGTGGGGGGGGGAATGCTGTGGGACAATGGTCTTGTACTTTGTAAAGATTTGTCACATAACCCTATAGTTTTTTATGGGTGACTGCAAAGTTTGGTCTAATATAACCCTCCTTATCAATGGGGTCTATCAGGGAGCCTCTGAACAGATCAGATAATAACTATCTGAGGGACTTAGACTTCCTCCTTCATTTGACAGTTCTGGTGACAGCCAGGCTAATGTTTGCACTTTGAATGTGGGCTTAGAATTAGAAGACAACAAGCATAACTGCCACAAATACTCCCTGTTTTCTCAAATTCTTCCTTTCATTTCCTGGCAAACATAAGCATTTGAGTTATTTTTATGACCCTAAAATGCTGATTGAAATGATTTGCCAGTAGTTTTACTGATATTTTGAAGGTGAGAATTATTTGTGGCTTTTCCTCTGCCATTTTTAGCTTGTCAGGCTTTGATGAAAGAATGGACAGTTAAAATAATACTGCAGCAATTTTAGACATCAATCTCTCCTGGACTCACTGTCCTTGTTGCTTAATTGTTTCTTGAGTTAAGTGGCTAAACTAATTTATCAATGTTGTTTCCCCTGTAACATGGAGAATTTTGACCAGCAAGGAGAAATACTTTATGAAATGTTACAACAATTTAGTAATTATATATAATTTTATGTCTATATAATATATAATTTCTAAATTTTATATATATATGATACTGAAAAATAACAGTATACAGACCAAAAAGATATATATACACACACAATTTGTATATATGTAAATGATGTGCATGTCCTTCTGTATGTTGTGAATATATTTTATTATCATTGGTTAATAAAGAAGCTGATTTGGCCAATAGCCAGGCAGAATAGAGCCAGGCAGGAAATGCAAGCAACATTAAAGGGAAAAAGAAGGAGGAGTTTGGGAGACACCAGCAGCAGCTGGAAAAACAAGATGTGAGGTAACAAACCAAGAGCATTGTGGTAAAATACAGACTATTAGAAATGGGTTGATTTAAGTTTTAAGAGCTAGTTAATAATAAGCCTGAGGTAATAGGCCAAACAATTTATTATTAATAATAAGTTTCAGAGTGGATATTCGGGAACTGGAAGGCAGGAAAGAAACCTCTAGCTACACACACACACACACACACACACACACACACACATATGCATGCATGTGACAACAATGAAAAAAAGAGTCCATGAATTTGAAAGAGAGAAAGGAGGAGTTAAGTGGGGAGGAAAGGCAAGGAAGAAATATATTATCTCAAAAATAAAAGAAAAATTAAAAAACTAAAACGTATGTTGTTCCTGACAATATAACAATCTCAGCTTTCTTTGGGGTACTGTTTCGTACATTTTAATGTAATTTTTTATTTTATTTTTGAATTGCATATGATAATTATGTATTTAAGGGATATACGTGATAGTTCAGTCTTTTCCCACACTTTTTAAAGTTAGTTTTTTGAGACATACGTGATTATTCACTACTGTACTTACGTTATGTCCATTCCTTTTTCTCCCACAATTCCCTTTCAAGTTCATGATCTCTTCTTCTGCAATTAATATTGTTATGTGTGTGTATTTGAAATTTATTGTTTTCCACACTGTAGTGATATTCCATTTGTATTTTAATAAATAAAGTTTGCCTGAAGATCAGAGGGCAAAACAGCTACACTGGTCAGCCATACAAACCAGGCAGTGGCGGCACACACCTTTAATCCCAGCAGCCACACTAGTTAGCCATAGAGGCCAGGTGGTGGTGCACACCTTTAATCCCAGCACTAGAGAGGAATATAAGGTGGCATGGCTCAGCGGTTGTTGTCTGTGCTTCAGAGAATGAAAGTTCAATTCCCAGCACCCACACCCCACAGCTCTC